AAAAAAATCTAGTTACACAGAAGAGCATATGTACCAAGAATTTAAACCAAAGCTAGTGAAAAAAAATCACAACAATTAACATAAAACAAAATTTATTTTTTAGTGTTTGACAACTCCCAATTTTTTTTTTTTAATCAGTACTAGGGATGGAACTCACGACTGTGCTGCTTGCAATGCAGGCATTTATGTCTAAAATACTTACGCTGTTTGGAAGTGAAACATACATTTCAATTCACCAAGTTTAATTAAAAGACATCAGCACCTTGGCTAGCCCTATTTACATTGTGTGAGCTAAATGAAAGGAAAAGGAAATAGCCTAGCCCTGTCAGTCTTATCAGTACATGAAGATAGGGCCAGGTTTAGCCAAAGTGGAGGTAATTGCTCTTAATTCAAGGAGAGTCATCCAGGTGGTCCTCCAAAAGTTACGCCTACAAAACGAAGAGTTAGTAGCAACCTTTTCTCACACTGCTTACACACACAGGATTTCTCACTGGTGTAACTTCATTTACATATTTGATATTGGCTGCCTCTGCTGAATGCTTTCCCACATAGGCAAGGTTTACACTAGTGTGAATTTTTTTTTTTTTGGTCTTTTTGAGACAGGGTCTCGTTATGCAGTTCAGGCTGGCCTTGAGCTCACTTTGTAGCCCAGGCTGGTCTCGAACTTGCAATGATCCTCCTACCTCAGCCTCCCTTGTGCTGGGATTACAGGCATGAGCCACCACGCCCAGCTCACTAGTGTGAATTTTTTTTTCATGTCTGACAATAGCTGTATGTACTGAATGCTTTTCCCACATTAGGTAACACACAAAGGGTTTCTCCCCAGGGTGAATTTCTTTCATGTATTTGACAGTGACTGTCTTCTCAATGCTTTCCCATATTGTTTACACAGGATTTCTCCCATGTGAATTCTTTTGTATCTCTTATTGTGTGCACTAAACAGTTTCCCACACTGCTTATATATATAGGATTTCTCACCAATGTGAATTATTTCTTGTCTCTGTGAAATCAATTACCATAAGCTATGTTTTCCAAATTTCTTAGATACATAGTTTCTTTCCAGCATGTCTTCTTTCATGTATTTGAATATGAAAAGAAATGAAAACTTTCTCACATTGTTTATACACTTATGGATTCCCTCTAAAGTGCTTTTTTTCATAGATTTGAACATAACTAGGTATGTTGGAGGCTGTCACACTTTTCTAACATATAAAGGTCTTTTTCTGCAGGGTGAACTCTCTCACTAAAATCAGAGTAGATTTTCCTACATTGCTCTTAAACATAGGGTTTTATTTATGGTCTAGTCCCTGAATGTTTCTGAAAGGAATAGAATCACTGCAAGTTCTTTTATGCTTATTAAATTTATGCAGCTTCTCTTCAAATCCCAAATACTCATATGGTTTCAATCCAGTGTGAACTTTGATGGGCCTATTTAGTGATAATGACCAGTGAAGGAGATGCTTTCTGCAAGAAAGCTTTCAGCTGTGTTGTGTCATATTCACATTAGCATCTGGAGTCCACAGGATTATTTCTTCTTGTTGATTCAAAACTTTATATTGGGGCTGGGGATTTAGCTTAGCGGCATAAGCGTCTGCCTTGCAAGCAGGTAGTCATGAGTTCAAGCCCTGGTATCGATAAAAAGGAAAAAGACAAAAAAAAAAAAAAAAAAAAAAAAAAAACCCAAAAACTTTATATTGATGCATTTCTCTACGTCTTCATTTCTTAAATTTGTCCAGCAAGTTTCATACTCTTCCATTTGTTGGTTATCCCAGGTTCTTCCTATAGCAGTCATGTTCATAAATGTTTTCCCCATTGCCATGCATGGTGATGCACGCCTGTAATCCCAGCACTCAGAAGGCTGAGGAAAATTCCTGGGAGTTAGAGGCCAGTTTGGGCTACCTAGTGAGTTCAAGGCCAGCCTGAACTACATAGGGAGACTCTATCTCAAAAAAACCAAAACAAAATAGAACAAAATAAAACAAAAGGATAACATTCAAGATCATTCTAGCTAATAGAATATGGGATTTTTTCAAAGGATATTACACTAAGGAAAATAAACCAATCACAAAAAGACAAATTCTACATGATACCATTTATATGAGGCATTTAAAGTAGTCAAAGCTAAAGAGACAGAAAGTAAAATGGTAGTTGCTAGAGGTTGGAAGAACAGCAAATTGGGAACCTATTCAGTAGGTATAGTTTTAGTTTTGCAGGATGAAACATTTCAAGATCTGTTGCACAACAACATGAACATAGTTGACACTACTCAACTGTGCACTTACAAATAGTTATGCTGGTTTGGAGGAGGGATAACTGGTATATGAATATAGGTCTGCTTCAAAAAATCATATATTTAGATCTGTGTCTGGTGGCACATGCCTATAATTCCAGCAATTGGGAGGCTAAGGCAGAATGACAGTGAGTTTGAGGTGAGCCTGGGCTACCTAGTAAGTCCAGGCCAGCCTAAACTACTTGGCAAGGCTCTGTCTCAAAAACCAAACCAAATAACAAAAAACAAAACAAAACAAACCCCCAACAGAATCCCCCAATATGTATTTAATAATTATGTTATTATTGTTTGCTACTTTGAAATAATTATATGTCTTTAAAGACCACTTTCTTATTCTGATTTACACAGATCTCCCTCTTCTTTATGTCAGGGTAGCAAGCCATGGTTAATAGTTGCATTGCCTTAAGTCTGACAGATATCAGAATTTTTTCCTGGAAGAGTATCATAATTAATCAAGATAGAAAATTCAACAGTCATTATTAATTCAAGAGATTAAGCAGAGAATCAAACATAGGTCAGTGGATTAGTTAAGACATCTGAAAGGAATAATTTTGGCTGTTTAAAAACATTACTGCTAGGCATGGTGATAGGCACCTACAATCCCAGCTTGAGGCAGGAGAATCTCAAGTTTGACCCCAGCCTGGGCAACTAGGTGACTTAGCCAGATCCTGGCTAAAAGGCAGAAATAAAAAGAGCTGGAGATGAAACTCAGTATGAAGACCCTGGGTTCAATTCCTAGTACCACAAAAAATAAAAACAAAACAAAAACTTACAGAAGCTGAGGGTGTAGCTCAGTAGTAGTGAGCATGGCTAGTGTGTGGGAGGCCCTGGATTCTAACTCCAAAATAAATAAATAAATACATTAACTTAAAAAAGCAACATACATAATTATATAACTGAAAAAGTGCTTATTCTACTAAAAGAAAAAGTTTGTGATGGAAGCTTAAAATGATGAGCCTTTTAACAAACTCACCTGAAGTAAGTCATTTCAACTTTTCTAAATTCTTCAATTTCTAAAGGGTCAGAAGATGCCGATACTAATTGTAGGCAGTGAGTGTATCATAGAAAACGATCTGAAAGGGAAGGAACTATTTCTGAGGCTGAACTAGAGTCAAACACACTGAATTAGTAATGACAAAACACAAAATATTAAAAACACAAGACAAAGAATTCCAATATCCAAATTTACCTAAATTAATCAAGGTAGGCTGAGAGTAGTTTCTGAAAACAAAAAGTACAATTTTCTAGAATGGCAACAATAATGGAATTATGTCATGTGGCTTACTGGTAGAGGTTTTGCCTACTATGAATGAGGCCCTGGGTTCAATTCTCAGCATCACAAAAACAAATTTAAAAACCTACACTTAGCCAGGCATGGTGGCACAGATATGTAATCCCAGGATTTGGGAGGATGAGGTAGGAGGATCCTTGTAAGGCCAGTCTGGACTACATAGTGAGTTTGATGCCAGCCTGAACTAGACATTGAGACTGCATCTCAAAACAAACCAACCAACCTCAAAACAACAATAACAACAAAAAAACAAAAATGATGCGGACAAAGACTTACTGTTTACTAGGGCGAGATCTGTACTATTCCATGTCCCTAGCACATAGGGATACAAAAATGAAGGCTTTGGCCTTGCTCTCAATTTCAACAGAATGTTAAAAAAAAAATACCCAAAAAACAAAAGCAAAAAAAACCACGATAAGATCTGCAGAATGTTTCATTAAATACCAGGAGCAATTATAAATGCTTTCTACTGATTAAATTTTCACTTCCTTCAAAATTAAAATGTAGGTACCAATAATCATGTACATCTTATAGAAGAGGCTCAGAAAGGTTAATGTCTTGCCCAGAATCAAACAGCTATTAGATGATGGACCTGGGTTACAACTTTTTTTCTTTCTGGGACCGGGGATTGAACTCAGGGACTTTTCACTGAGATTACAACCCTAGTCCTTTAAAAATTATTTTTATTTTTGAGACAGGCTCCCTACGCTGAACCAGAATTTGCAATCCTGCTTTAGCATTCCAGATTGCTGGTATTTAAGGAAGGCTTGGTTTGGAGCTCGAATACAATTTTTTTTTTCTTTTTTTTTTTGTCTTTTTCCTTTTTACCGGTACCAGGGATCGAACTCACGACTGCCTGCTTGCAAGGGAGGCGCTTATGCCGCTGAGCTAAATCCCCAGCCCCTCGGATACAATTTGACAGAGAATTTAAATTTACAAATTTTGCACGTGGTGGTGTTCACTCATCCGCAAACAAGGATTAAAATATATTTACCTCTTTAGGGACATGGTAGCACACGTCTGCAATCCCAGCAGATTCAAGCAGAGCCTATACAATTCAGCGATTTAGTGAGACTCCGCCTCAAACAAACAAGTTGGGGATATACAATAGTTTAGTGCGGAAAGCCCTGGGTTCAATTCCCAGTAGCAAAAAATTAATAAAATTTTCTCCTGGACTTGTATCGATTAAATGAAACATAGTACTCATAGTATTGTGTTTGGAACATGTTAAGAATTAACTTTGCTTTATTCTTTTAAGTCTGATCTCTATACCTGAATATGGAAAGGGCCTTGGCTACACAGGCAGAGCGAATTTTCAAACAGGTTGTGGTACTTAACATACACTTGTTTTGTTTCGATATACAATAGCATCATAGTCTTTGATTAGGCTCATAGTCTTCAGTTTTACGAACATCTCACCCATTTCCTCTATCAAGCCCTCCGCCAGCCTCATTTTATATCGCCGTTTCCACCACAAACGGAGTTCTTTCAGGAGCCTCCGAGCGGCGCTTGGGCGTATGCCTTGACAGTCAACAACCCAGCCTCGCGGCTCAAAGGCCTAGGCGCCAACGCTCTGCCCTGTTCTCGCGGGGCGAAACGCGGGTTTTAAATGAGAACTTCTAATTTCACGCTACCTCTCAACCGTCACATGACTGGCGCGCGCGTCCCCGACTGAAGGTCTTTCCTGGTCCCAGACTGGCTGTTAACTGGGCTACAGGGTGTCGCGAGGTCCATTCCGGAAGTAGGAGCTTTGACTTTCCTCTTCCGCGTGTCTCTTTCGACGCTTAGCGGAAGTTCGTCACATCGCGGTTGCCTCTGCACAGCGGATGTGTGTCGCCGCTTAGGTGACGCTGTGAAGTGATTGCAGCCTTTGCCGCTGCCTTTTGGTTGAAGCACTATGGAGGAAGAGAGGAAGAATAATAACAAACGGTGGTATTTTACCCGAGAACAGCTGGAAAACAGCCCATCCCGTCGTTTTGGCCTGGACGCAGATAAAGAACTTTCTTATCGCCAGCAGGCGGCGAATCTACTCCAGGACATGGGACAACGTCTTAATGTGTATCCTTACGGCCTAGGCCATGGGCCTAGGACTTGGCATGCTCCGGCGTTCAGGCCCATACTCTGGCGGGGACAGAAGAGAGTAAAAAGGTGACAGGAGCTGGATGTCTAGGCGGGCAGATCTCGATGGGGCGGGCAGAAAGTGTTCGCTCGAGGGATGCGAGGCGGAGCCAGTTTCCCGCTCGCTTACTAGTGCCACCAGCCTTGCTAGGAATCATCTTTTTCCGGCTTTGTTTTAGCATTCCCTTTCTAGTCCTTCCTGCTCTAGTGACATTGAGATTGTTTCTGTTCTGATTTAGGAGTCTAGGAGACATTTCACTGTTGACGGTTGTCTCCCAAACTTAAAAGTGTAAAAAGTTTCCGGAAATTCACTACTAGAAGGTGTTCTAACGGTAGTCAAGAATTAGTGTCCCAGCTTTGGTTGAAAATACGTTCCTCCCATTTATTAGCTGTTCAGGAAAACTCAGATTCTTCACCGTCTTGTCTGTGAAATGGACATCCCTTGCATTTGATTTCTATGCTCTCCACAATGCTTGGCATTCAGACTTCAAATAATAACCATTGTTTGAGTTCTATAGAGTTTCAAAGTCAGGTTAGGTTTCTAGTATTGTAGAGCCACGTATCTAATTTTTAAATAGTTTACAAAATATTGATTCCTTAAGTTATACAGGTGTATGTATGTGTTGATTTTTCTTTTCATAGTCCAAAGTTATTTAGTGACTTTTTCCCCCAAAGTACTTTTGTCCGAAAAAGTATTTTCATTCTGTGGTGTGTTCTTTCCATTGTGTGTATGAAAATTTTTATCCCTTAGTTGAACTTCAGCTTGGTTAGCTTTCATTTAAGTGTCTTGCTGACTGTAGTGCTTGTTTTTAAGGATGTGCTTGCTTCAAAATAGGTGTCCACTTGACATTTTGTTTCCTGATGATATCCATTTGTTACCTAAAGCATCCAATCTGCGAACTAAACCATTTTTAAAAAATTTGCTTCAGTGTATCCTTAATATGCCTTTTTGTTAATGTGTTACTAATTTTGTCTTCACTTTAGAAATAAGGCATTTACAAGTTTTCTGTGAGGGGTGTTACTGAATTGCCTTATCTTTGAAATGGGGAGGGCACTGGAGGTAAAGACACAGAGGCAAACACAAGGTCTGTAGGCAGGGGAGTCGTGACAGTTTTTCTTAAGCGAAGCAGTATCAAATCATTTCGAAGTTTTTTTTTTGGCCCTACGGATCATGACCGTGAGAGTGCCGGCAGGAAGTGAAACTAAATTTAATGCTGGACTTCAGAAGATGAGAGAGGGTAGATATTTGTCCACAGGCCAGATTAGGGACAGCCTTCTAAATCATTACAGAGAGAGTCTAGACTAATGTTCATTGCAGGATTTGTAGAAGAGAAGTGGCTGAAAAGTTTAAGATTTTATGTAGTTTATATTCCATCCTGATTAATGCATCTCAAGAATTTTTGTTTATTCAGTAAATTTATATATTTGTTGAAAGCCTTATGCTGTCAGTTTGCAGTTTAGTGAAAGAAAACAGACTGTTCTTTGACTTGAAGAGATAAGGATACTTAGGATCATCCACTGCGTATGGCCATTTGGTCTTTTTTGGAAGAGCTGGAGTTGTATTTTGGGAGTTACACTGCCTACCTGTCTGATTTTGGACCTTAACTTGAATGCTTCAGCTCACAATTGACTATTAATACTGCTATAGTATATATGCATCGATTCTACATGATTCAGTCTTTTACACAGTTTCATCGAACTGTAAGTATAATTTTTTTGTGTGGTGTAATCATTTGGTGATTTATTCCAACTGCTGATTTTGTGGGTGCTGCTAAAATGGGAATTGAATTTTAGAATTTAGGGTTGATCCTATTCTGTGTCACACTGCTGTTTTCAGTCTAGCCTTGCAGTTTTCCTGTGAAATCTGTCTAGTTTTCTGGTAGGGTTAGTGTATCTGTAGACTAGGTCAATTTGCTGCTACAGCTAACTTTTTTTTTTTTTTTTTGAGTTGGAGGAATAGCATTAAAGGGGAAATCATGATTAATTCAGTATAACTTTCCAAGTGGTAAATACTAAAATGGTGATAGATGAATGGAAATTAGATTTTCCAAAAGTCTTTGATAAAATTGCAATGAATGATTGGTTGGAGGGGAAGGTATGGTAAGTGATAATGACTGGGGAAATTACTCAAGAGCAGGAAAGAGCTGGGCATAGTGGCACATGGCTGTAATCTCCGTATTTGGGAGGGTGAGACAGGAAGATTGCCTTGAGTTTGAGGCCAGTCAGGACTACATAATGAGACCCTGACTCAAACAAACAACAAGAAAAAGAAAATAATAGGGGCTGAGGATTTAGCTCAGTGGTATAAGTGCCTTCCTTGCAAGTGTGTGGTTGTAAGTTCGATCCCCGGTACCGATGGAAAAAAAAAAGAAAATAATAGTAAAGAAATAAAAGTATCCCTCCCCCCCGACAGAATAGTAAATACAGTAATGCTATTTTCTGTTTTGTTTCTGAAATGATCCAATTAACACTGCAAATAATAGGAATCATAGTGCGATTTTTGTGTAGGTAAGACTATTTGTTTAATGAAAGTAATGAGGATAAACTTGAACACTTCATATGGATCTGTGAGTCAAATACTTTAATTGTTTTTAAAGAAATTTGTTTTAGGGGCTGGGGGTTTAGCTCAGCGGCATAAGCACCTGCCTTACAAGCAGGCAGTCGTGAGTTCGATTCTCGGTACCAAGAAAAAGGAAAAAGACAAAAAAAAAAAAATCTCTTTTTTAATGCTGTCGGGAGGAATCTGTGAAGCTGGATATAGTTTGTGTAATATTAGAAATTGGCAGAATCAGGATTGTGAGTACCAGGTGCCATGGCAGACATCTATTGTCTCACTATGGAGGGAGGCTGAGGTAGGAAGATTGCAAGTATGAATCCCACCTGGGCAACTTAGCGAGCCCCTATCTCAGAATAAAAATATGAAGTGCTAAGAATGTGGCTGGGTGGTAGAGCCATCTGCCACCACACCCAGCCACCATTTAGTTTTGTGTTACCAGAATTGCTTTAACTAGTTGACTATTGGTGAATATTCAAGTCATTTCTAAATTTCTGTAGATGGAATTATAGTGTACATGTACGATTTTTATTTTGTTAATATACCCTACAGAAAGATTTTACTAGGATACTTTGTTTACAGTACTATGGGAGAGAGTTCTTTTGTGTATATCCTGACTAACCACAAATATTTATTACTTTAGGAAATATGCATAACCAAGAGTGGTGGCTCATACCTCTAAATCCTAGTGCCCTGGGAGGCTGAGGTAGGAGAATTGGAAGTGTGAGGCCAACCTGGGCAATTTAGTCTGCGAAAGAGATGACTAGGGATCACTAGGGGATCAAACTCATGACCACGCACTTGCAAGGCAGGTGCTTATGCCACTGAGCTAAATTCCCAGCCCCTGGATATAGTCTATTTTGAAGGCCCTGGTATCCTAGATGCCACACACCCCCCTTTTAAAGTTTTTATTATTATTTTTTATTTATTTTTTGGGTGGGACTGGGGATTGAACTCACAACCTTGTACTTGCCAAGTAGGCACTTGTGCCACTGAGCTAAATCCCCAGCTCCCTTTTTAAATGGAATAGGTTCAGAGGATTCATTGGTAAACAAGATAGATGAGTTCTGAAATGATTTTTTTCAATTAGTGAAGTTGAGGTTTTCCTTTTGATCACTGTTCTTGTGAAATTCAAGAATGAAAATTGCCTTGTTTATTCACTTTACTCCTTTTTTATTCTGATTATTTTAAATGAACTCTTTTAGGTATTACAATTATAGGGGGTTATGGAAGAAAATATTTTGAGGGGATTGGAGACAATGATTGTGCTTTGTAAAGCAGGCTGGCCTTGAGCTTGTGGCAGTCTTCTTGCCTTAGTCTTTCTGATGCTGGGATTACAGGTACATGCCACCATGCCTGGGTAAAAACTTTTTATTAAAGTTTGACAGCACTTGGGGCTGGGGCATTAGCTCAGTGGCTCAACACATGTATGGTAAGTGTGAGATCCTGAGCTCAATTCTCAGTACCTCCTCCCCAAATTAAAAAAAAAAAAAAAAGTTTGACAGTACAGCACAAAAATCTAAAGCATACAGGTTGATTAATATTTTGCATTGTTATATGTATGTAACCACTAGTTATATAACATAGATTTCCAATACCCTGGTAGGTAGCATACCTGGCTTTTAACTCAAGCAAATTTCTTTTCATTAGTGGACATGGCTAAATGACTAGTTTCTCTTTTTTAAATGTAAGAATTGTGTTCATTCTTTTTAGGAGGAGAAATGTAGCTTTTTTTTTTTTTTTTTTTGGTAGTAGTGGTGCTGGGGATGGAACCAATGGCCTTCACATTGATCTATATTCACAGCCTGTTTTTAACTTTTTGTATTATAAGGTGGGCCTCACTAAATGCCCAGGCTAGCCTTAAACTTGGAAGTTTTCTTATATCAGCTTCCCAGAGTGCTAGGATTACACGTGTATGCCGCTATGATAAACTTCAATTGCATTTCTACATGTACCACCTTAAATGTTTTCAAGTGGAGAAATACTTTGGGTGATCATATGTTTATGTTGTATTTTAAAATACAGACTGAGGGCTGAGGCTGTAGCTTAGTGGTAAAACTTATGCTTAGCATGCTGCATGCCCTGGGTTAAAAGAATGTCTAGATTTGGAACTCACTGCAGTGCAAGTTAATTTAGCCAGAGGTAGTGCCACACGTTCTGTGTTCCTAGCACTTGAGAGGCTAAGGCAGGAGGATTGCTGAGTGTTTGTGGCCGACGTGGTCTATATAAGCAAGTTCAAGGCCAGCCTGCACTATATGGTAAGACCCTATCTCAAAAACAAAACAAAACAAAACACTCCAAAAAATTAATTTAAAAAGTGCCTGAGCAAAGCAGTCAATAAATACTAGCTTTTCTTTTTTTGTTGGAGGCAGCACTTGGAATTGAACCAACCCCAGCTTGCTTGTTGGCTCTCTCGCTTTCTTTCTTTTGATTTTATGACACAGGGTCTTGCTGTATAGTCCAAGCTGGCATTGAACTCATAGCAGTCTTCCTTCCTCAGCCTTCCAAGTGCTGGGATTACAGGTGTGTGCCTCCACACACACTGGTCTTTATTTTTATTTTGAGACAGAGTCCTGTTGACCAGGTTGGGCTTGAACTTATGATCCCCTGCCTCAGTCTCCTGGAGTGCTGAGATTATAGGGATGTACCACCATGCCTAATTTAGCTATTTTTCTTAGGAGCTGAGCATAGTGAAACACAGCCAGCTACTGAGACGGAGATAAGAGGATGGCAGGTTCAAGGCTAGCCTGGGCAACTTTGTCTTAATATATATGGAATTGGGAGCCTAGTGTGGTGGACATACCTGTAATTTCAGCCTTCAGGAGACTAAAACAGGAGGATCATAAATATAAGGCTATTTTGGGCCACTTAATAGGACTACATAGCACTACCACATTCTGGAACATTGGGGTGGGGGTCAGAATGTGGGAATGTAGGTGAATCTTGACTGGGTTCAATCTCTAGTATCTAAAAAGAGTAACTTTTGCTTTATTCTTTTTTAATTAGTACCAGGGATTGAACTCACGACCACGCGCTATTTGTTGATCTTACTTATTTTTTGGAGACATGCTAGGCTAGGACAAGGTATTTAAGTGTGGAAAATTTCAAACAAAATTAGAGATGTAACATAAGGAAGTAGTGTGTATTTCTGAGATCTGCCTTAACTTTGATGAAAAAAATTGATAAGCAAGCTTGATATGGAATTTTATGAACATACCCCATTAAATTTTCTCTATATTCAAATACCATGTATATTTGGCTCTGCACTTAGTTTTCCAGTGTTGCTTTTGTTCTTGCTTGTTTATATTTCAGTTGCCTGCTCTAGACTTCATTTGCTAATGTTTTAAATTTTTTTTAAAATTAACTTTCATGGTTTACACAGCTGTAATCCCAGCTACTTGGAATGCTGAGGCACAAGGATCACAAGTTCCAGGCTAGTGTGGCTACATACTATGTAGTCCAAGTTTAATACCAACGTGGACTACATAGAGAGACCCTGTCTCCAAAAACTAAAACCAAAATGAAACTTAAATATGTCTTACCTTTTTTCTGTTACCCTTCCTAAATATTTCTTAAATTCTCCATTTTTTCTAAAATCTTGTGTCACTTTTGTTAAAAAATCATTTGTGTCCCATATCAGATTATCTATTTTATTTAATTATTTAGTGTGCTCTAAATGGTCTTCTTGTCTAGATCCCCACAGCTTTGTTCATGCCCATTTCCCATTAGTTCTGCTTTGTTTGTCCTAAGGTATAAGGAGAATGTTTGCAGCAAGTTTTATGCACAACTGAAACAAATGTGAAGGAGGATTGATACTATGAATTGAATGTGTGGAGAAAACTTCATTTTAGAAAAGTATAGCATAGGTAAAAGCAGAGATACAAATAAGAATTAGAATGTGTCGGGGCTGGGGATTAGCACAGCGGCATAAGTGCCTGCCTTGCAAGCAGGCAGTCGTGAGTTCGATCCCTGGTACCAATAAAAATGAAAAAAGACCAAAAAAAAAAAAGAATGTGTCTGTTTTAGTCAGTAAAGTGAAATAGATATTAAAAAAAAAAAAGAATGTGTCTGTTTTAGTCAGTAAAGTGAAATAGATATTTAAATTCTATAAAATTAATGCATTTCGTATATTCCTGGTGAATTCTAGATCTTGATATTGTGATTTTGATTCATTTATACATGTATTTGTATGTATGTGTACCGTATATATATTTGACAGGGTCTCACTATGTAGTTAGGCTGGTCTTAAACTAATTATGTAGCCCAGGCTGGCTTTGAATTTGCAGTGATCCTACTGTGTCAGCCTCCTGAGTACTAGCATTACAGGTATGCATAGCTGGCACACAGGTATATGCGCCTGTCTTAGAAAACTGTTTATGTCTAGGTCTTCAGACATAAACAATAGTCACTTAGATAGTTTTAAGGAGAGTGTTGAAAGGTTAGTGTTTGCAAGTGGATTAATGGATAGGAGGGCATATATGACTAGTACAAGGAAAAGCATAAACAATAAGAAGGTAGGACAAAGAAAGAAATCGAAACTGAGATCCTCAAATATGATTTATTTTCTTTCTCTCCAGTCTGTGGCTCCAGCGGCCTTGTTTCTAGCTGCTAAAGTGGAAGAGCAGCCAAAAAAATTGGAACATGTCATCAAGGTAGCACATACTTGTCTTCATCCACAGGAATCACTTCCTGACACCAGGAGTGAGGTAAGTGATTAATTAAAAATCTGCTTTGCTTTGCTTTTTTTTCTTTCATTTGTTTTTCTTTTTAAATCAGATTTTAGCCTGACAAGCATGAGGTTGTGAGTTCAATTCCTGGTACCAAAAAAAAAAAAAAAAAAAAATCAGATTTTATTGATACATTTTAGATATACATGATGATCATATTCATCATGGTGAATTTGTACCTGTACATGATATAACTTGATTTTTTTTTCCATTCCCCTCCCCTCCTTTCAACCCCTGCTTGCTGCCTGATTTACAAAAACATTATTTCCATTTTTTCCTTCTTTTTTTTTATTATTAAAGAACAAAATAGAAAACGGGCAGAAATAGTACATACTTTCAAAGAAAAGAAATAAACAGAAATAAATCACTAGTTGATACATACATATTGTCCCCCCACAAATAGTTGTTCAAGATACAAAAGTAGAACATATAAATGGAAATTCAGCCAGGGAGACTGTAAACAGTGCTGTTCAACTATCCAACAAAAACTAAGTAATATGGCTATCAATCCTATACACTTAGACATGTATGCATTTATCCATATCTTCATTAATGTTGAGACCTAACAAAACTTACTAGATTAAAATCCTTCTGAGCCGGGCGTGGTGGCTCACACCTGTAATCCCAGCACGGGGAGGCTGAGGTAGGAGGATTGCAGGAGGATCGTTGTGAGTTCGAGACCGGCCTGGGGTACAAAGTGAGCTCAAGGCCAGCCTGAACTGCATAGTGAGACCCTGTTTCAAAAAGACACACACACAGATCTCAGTTGTTGATTCTTTGTGATAATTCCTCTGTGGTCAGGGTTTTGTTAATAAAGTCTTTACCTACACTATTGTCTTTCAAGAGTTTTATCTGCTTTTCTTTTCTTTTTTTTTTTTGTCTTTTTCGTATTTATCGGTACCAGGGATCGAACTCATGACTGCCTGCTTGCAAGGCAGGCGCTTAGGCCGCTGAGCTAAATCCACAGCCTCTATCTACTTTTCTTTATTTTGATTGTAACTTAATTTTGGGATTTTGATTTACAAGTTTGAATGTGGGCAGTTACGGGAAACTTAGTTTTATTTTTGTTGTTTTGCTAACAAAAAAACTAAGTTGTGAAAATTTGTTGAGTTATATTGAAAGATGCTGAAAAGCAAAGAACAGAAACAATCTGCTGGAAGATAAAATGGATAAAATTGTTTAAGACATAAGTGTAAACCAAAAAACAGAGCCCTGATTGCTTAAGAAATATTACCAAGAATCAGCACATGAAATCACATCTAATTAAAAACTTCTGCACAGCCAGAAAACCACTAACAGAGAGAAAAGAGAACCTGTAGACTGGGACTTTTTAGGAAAACAATTAGTATCTGGAATATATAACAAACTTAAGAAAATTAGACCTCCCCCAAAATTTAAGACCCAATTGAAATGATGAAGAAGTATAAATGCCAATAAATACATGAAAAAATGCTCAAGATCACTGGCCAGTTGAGAAATACAAGTTAAAACAACACTGAGATTCCATCTTATTCCATGAAGAATGGTTATTATCAAGAAATCAACCAGTAATCAACCAGTGCTGGAGTTATAGGCATGCGCCACCACACCTGGCTATTCCTCAGTAAGAAATTTATAGATGCTTCTGGGCAAAAGGAACCCTTCTTCATTGTTGGTGGGAATGTAAACTGGTATAATCACTGTGGAAATCAGATTCCTTGAAAACCTAAAGATAGAAATTCCATTTGACCCAGCTATTCATCTTCTAGGTATGTTCCCCAAAGAGCTAAAGACAATGATACATGCATACTCATGTTATAGCAGCTCAATTCACAATAACTAAATCTTGGAAGCAGACTGTATCTCCATGAACAGATGAGTAGATAAAGAAAATGTGATTTTTTTTTTTAAATGTGATGTTTATACACTATGGACAACTTCTCTGCTATAAGAAAGATAAACTTGAGTCATTTGTAGGAAAATGGGTTCACCTTGAGACTATAATGTTAAGTGAAGGAAATTAGATACACAATCTTAAACACCATATGGTTTATTTTATATGAGAAACCTAATATATAAGTAAAGTGAAAAATATCTAAAACTGTAGCTTGATTTAGTGTTTTTGGTGGTGATGCTGTTATGAGACAGGGTCTCATTATGTAGTTCACTGTGAGTCTCACCAGGGCCTCAAACTTTTGGCAATCCTGCCTCAGGCTCCTGAGTGCTGGGATTGTAGGCATGCACCACCAAACCCAGCCAGATTTAGTATTACTGTGTTTTGTGTTTTAAAAAAAAATTTTGACTATCAGTCTGGCTATTCATCTGTAAGTATGAAAGTTAACTTTATAAGGACTTACAAATAAATGAATCTAATGCTGGCAGATTTTTTTAAAAAGAAGCGATAGATGCGAAGGAGGAAGAAAAAACAATGCAGACATGTTATGTACGTTTCCTGGTTCACCACAAGCAATGTAATCATTATGTATTGCAAGCATGTACTAAGAAAAATTAAAAAGAGCAAAAATACATTACATAGATCTATTGAACCACTGAAGCACAGATATATAGATGGACCATCATCATTCTAGCTGCTTTTGTATAAAAAACCATGCTTGCATGTGTTTCATTATTTTGACTTACTATATCCAAATTATTTCCTCATTTTGTTCATTCTTGATTTTTTATAAATATCTAGGTAGCCATTTACATGTGTATTTTTATGAACATTCTCTGTACAATAAAGAAATGTTTATAAATCAAGCATAGGGCCACATCCCTGAAATCCTAGCTCTCTAGGAAGCTTATGCAGGATGTTTCCAAGCCCAGCTTGGGTAATTTAGCAATTTAGGGAGACCCTATCTCAAAAAAAAAAAAGAAAAAAAAAATGTACTCAGTGGGAAAGCTTCAAGTTAATCCATAGTAACACACACAGACATACAAATACAACACAAATTGGGTCAGGAATTTAGCTTATTGGTGAAAGCGCCTACCTGGCAAGTATAAGGTCATGAGTTTGACTCCTGGTACCAAAACAAAAAACCACCACACACACAAATGTGTTTATAATGTGTTATTTTCTCACTCTGAACATAGAGAACTTTCTTAAAAATTTTGTGGAGAAATGAAATAAAAGGTGTTTTTTGTTTGTTTGCTTGTTTTTGTTTTTTTTTTTTTGGTATTGGGGATCAAACTTGAGACCTTGCGCTTGATAGGCAGGTGCTTGTACAGCTGAGCTGAATCTCTGGCCCTAAATAAAAGTTTTAATACATTGCATCTCCCTTAATCCTAGCAGGATATGGGAACATACATGTTTTTCTAGACTTCTATCCTATGCTAAAGGAGAGAAATGCCCGGTTTTAGAAGTTAGTAATTGGTACTGTTAAGGGGTCTGGGAGCCCTACGGGCTCATTTTTTATTTTATTTTACTTTATTTATTTTGGTACTGGAAATCAAACTCAGGACCTTGGCGTTTGCCAGGCAGGCACTTGTGCCACTAAGCTCGGCCTCCATTTTTTATTTTGAGACAGCGTTTTACTAAGTAACTAAGTTGCCTGGGTCAGGCTTGAATTTATAATCTTCCTATTGACGCTTCCCAAAGTGTTAGGATTGTAGGTGTGAATGAACCACTACATCTGATTTCAGAGTTCTAATTGCGGAGGAAAATAACAAATTTCTGTTACTAGATTATTTAAGTCTTTAGCAATGGATGCATGGGTCATTATTTATAAAATAAATGCCATCACGTATTTTCTGAACACAAGGAGAAAGCTTTTTGGGAGGTGGATTTTAGTAATCTTTAATTATGTTTTACATAACAGTGTCTACCTTTCATTTTTTATTTTGGAACACTGGTAGCTCTTACTGAAAAAGATTGCTCTAGACTTTTTGTCTTTTTGAGACAGGGTCTCACTATGCAGTTCAGGCTGGCCTTGAGCTCACTTTGTAGTCTATATTTTTAAGACAAGGTCTCACTTTACATTTCAGGCTGGCCTCAAATTCACTATGTGATGCATGCTGGCCTCAAACTCATGGAGATCCTATGGACTAAGCCTCTCAAGTGCTGGGGTTACAGGCATGCACCACCACACCTGGCTATTCCTCAATTTTTAGAAGAAATTAATTTTAATGATGTATTTTATATCACACTATATCTAAAATTTTGTCAGTTTAGCATATAATCATATTTAAAAGTTATTAATGAGATAGGTGTTTTTTAACGTAGTCTTTATTTTTATCTTTTTTTTTGGTACCAGGAATCAAACTCATAACCTTGTGCTTGGCAGGCAGGCCACTGATCTGTGTTACCGGCCCTTAACTTAGTCTTTAAAATCCAGTGTTGAAAAGAAAATCTCCATGCTTATTTATAATTTAGACTAGATGCATTTCAAGTTCGCAGTAGCTACCCATCCATGGTTAGAGCAGTGATGGCAAACTTTATAGAGCTTTCAGTGATACAAACAGCCCACTGCAGTATAGGTGTCATAGGTTTACTACTACTGGGTTAGGGTCTTTAGTTTTGGCTTAACACAAATCTGAATTATTTCGTTTCTCTTGTTTTCCTTTGTATTGTTAAATTTTTTTAAATTATCTGCAAAGATGGTTTAATAGTGTTAACTGTTTGGTATCACATGCTTTTAATAGTATAGGAAAGGTTTTTCTAGTGTTGGAAAAAGGCTTGTTAATTTCTTATATCTAAATCATTTGAATTCTGAAACTTAAAATATCAGTAAATATGAAAATGAACCAACTATCTGCTTTTTTGGTAACCATATATGAATAAAACATTATTTCTGTTACTTTTTTTAGGTAAAGGAAAAGTTTATACATATTGGGGTTAGAGATGTGGCTTATATTTAAATTTCTATTCCATCTCCTCCTCCATTCATGGCTTTTCTTGTTTTGGTTTCCCTGACAGAAGTTGTTAGAATTGGTTACTTTTTTTTTTTCCTTTTGGCAAGTGCCCTGTCACTGAATGTATATTCTTAGCCCTTGTTTATAGTTTATGTACTGTATTTCCCCCAAAAAAAGACCAAGTCATATTAATTTTTGCTTCAAACTGAGGGTAGTAATATATACCTGTAATCCCAGCATTTGGGAGACTGAGGTAGAAAGATGGCTGGGAGTTTAAGGCCACCCTGGAGTACATAGGGAATTCAAGACAGCCTGCACCACAGAGCAGGAGGCCCTGTCTGCAAAAAAAAACAAATTTTTTTTTTTTTTTTTTTTTTGCTTCAACAGACTCAAGGGCTTATTTTCAAGGGGTGTCTAATTTTCTCATAATCTACATGTATTCATATGTGAAAATCTGTATCTATTCAAACTGTCATGTTAACGTATAGAGCATCATCATAACTCTCCAAACCCCAAATTCTGACTGACTCTGTTTCTTGTAGAACCATTGACCCCAATCTCTTGTGTCTAGAAGTGGAGGTATTCGTTAATGAGTACTTCTTGTCCATGTAATCTGCTCATAGTCCATTGTTACAGTAAACGTATTGAATTATGAAAACTCATATTAAACACAACCATGTCCATTCGTTATCAAGTGTAGATGTTTGTTTGTTGTGTTTGTACTGAATTGGACATTTGGCAGTAGGTGTTGGATTCATCTGTTAATGTAGGCGTTTATCTCTTGTCCAGAGATGCCCACTTGAGTATTTATAAACAGCTAATTACAATTTATATTATTTATTTAAAGTATTAACATCAATAATTTTATATATATATATATATGTTTAATTATATATTGTTTTATAATTCAGCATGTCTGTTGTATGTTGCAACAGATGTTCTAAAGGCATCTGTCTGGCTGATGAGTTTAACTGGGGCTTTTTGGGATAGGGCTTATGAGCATCCTGAAAAATCATGTTAGAGCTTGTTTTCTGACTAGGTGTTTTCAGGGAAATGCAGTATTATGCTTTTTAGTGAATGTTTTCTCTGTCTTCTCTGTAGGCTTACCTGCAACAAGTTCAAGATCTGGTGATTTTAGAAAGCATAATTTTGCAGACTTTAGGTAAGTTTATCTGCTTTAAAGCATTAACTATATATAATTTATATATATATAATTTAATGGTTTGTTATTAAAATTTGCAAAACAAGAAATAGGAAGAAAGGCCAGGGATTTAGCTCAGCAGTATAAGTGCCTGCCTGGCAAGCATGAGGTTGTGAGTTCGACTCCTGGTACCAAAAAAAAACAAAATTGGAAGGAAATCCCTTAGGGACATTTTTGCATAGTGTCCATCTGTTTCTGGATTAGAGTTTGTAGAGATCAAGAGTTTAACTTTGACCTGTATCATAGAGAATATAAAGATGTAGTTGTCCTTTGAAACAGTAGCTACTATACTGACTTTCCATACTAGGGTTCATGCTTTACCTTTTTTTGAGATTTGACATTTTTTAACCTGAAAAATAATGGCGAAACTGTCTTTAAGCCGGGCGCGGTGTGGCTCACGCCTGTAATCCCAGCACTCAGGAGGCTGAAGTGGGAGGATTGTTGTGAGTTCGAGACCATCCTGGGCTACAAAGTGAGCTCAAGGCCAGCCTGAACTACATAGTGAGACACCGTCTCAAAAAAGACAAAAAAAAACCACCTGTCTTAGGGGCTGGGGATTTAGCTCAGCGGCATAAGCGCCTGCCTTGCAAGCAGGCAGTCATGAGTTCGATCCCTGGTACCGATAAAAACGAAAAAGACAAAAAAAAAAACCCACCTGTGTTTAAAAAAAAGCATTTCTTTCCATGAATTGCTGTGGTCAGTGTATTTAGGTAACAGCACTTGCTTTTAAAATTGATAAGCAGTGATTGGTTAGTATAGCAGAGTGAAAGTAGAGGAAGTCAAGCTATAATGATTGCATGGGCAATGCTGATGATCCATAACAAGTATGGAAATAGGATTTTGTCTTTCTTACTCTTTTTGAAACAGGCCTTTTTTTGTAGTATTAGGCCAGCCGTGACCTTACTGTATAGCCCAGGCTGGCCTCAAATTTGCAGTAATCCTCCTGCCTCAGCCTCCTGAGTGTTGGGATTATAGGCATGTGCTACCACACCTGGATTTAGGTTAAGTTTTAGAAATAGTGATCATTTGAGTGACTTGTCTCTTCCATCATTATGTTATGTCCTGCTGTACCTGAAAAAAAATGTTTTATGTTTAAGTTTTTGGTTTATCAGTGGTTTTCTGGTCTTATTGGTACCCTTCTAGCTCAGAGTGTAAGCAACTTTGGAGATAATGTACTTTCAAGGAAAATATGCTGTGTGCTTTGTGTGATTCTTATCATCTGCATAGCAGTTTTAGGAGAGGGAAATGAGGGAGGCCTTTAATAATGACTAGGATAAAGAAATATAAAATGTGTTGAATATTTTTTTATTGTGTTGGGTTTTTTTTTTTTTTTTTTGACTGGTTAATCTTTTTTTAAAGGATTTGAACTAACAATTGATCACCCACATACACATGTGGTAAAGTGCACCCAACTTGTTCGAGGTAAGTTACCCCAACTTCAGACAATTGTCTTAAATTATTTTATCATTTGGATTCTCTAGTTTGCTGTATAAAATGCATGATACAGCTGTTGTGGGCAGAAGTTGAATTGAAATGCCCAGTTTTAAAATACAAAGATTGGTTGTGGTTTGTAGTTTTCCTTTTGAGGTTATCATTGATACGTTAGGTGATCTCTAATTAGAGTTAACCTTTTTTTAGGATGTTTGGTAAATCACTAGGTCATATTTAATGGCAGTTTTAAAGAAATCTTGGGAGTGACTGGTCCTATTTTAATCTGTTACAGGCCTTGTAGATGATCTTTTTTGTTTTTGTTTCTGGGCATTGAACCTAGCGGTTTTATGCTGAGCTGTAGTAGGAGGTTGGTTTGTTTGCTTTGTTTTTGAGAGAGAGTCTCACTAAGTCGCTCACACTGGGCTCAAACTTGTGATTTTCTATGTTAGTCTCCCAAAGTTGAAATTACAAGCATGTTGTCACCATGCCTGCCAGGAAATTACAAAGATTTTTTTTTTCTTCGAGATAGAGTCTCTGTAGTTCAGATTGGCTTTTTAACTTGAGGTGGTCTTCCTGCTTTTGTCTCTCAAATGCTGGGATTACAGGTGTTTGCCACCACACCAGGCAGAACTATTTTTCTTTTTTGGGTAGAGAGCAAACCTAGGTCCTCAAACATATTGGGAAATAGTTCAACCACTGAGCCACATACTTAGTCCCTCTTGTTTCGTTTAAACAGTAGTATCAAGACTGTCTAGTAGGGCTGGGGATGTAGCTCAGTGGCACGCTGCCTACTGGCAGACATGAGGTCATGAGTTCAATTCCCGATACTGGGGAAAAAAAAGTCTTAAAAAAAAGCAGAGCATTTGCCCAGCATCTGCAGTCCCTAGACAGTCTCCAGAACTACACATAAGCACACACATGTGCGTGCACAGTGGGCACCTTTGTGCACTGAAGTGCCTTAAGAGTTTTGTAGACCAAATTGATATGGGTTGCATGTGAAGATTCCAGTATTTCTGAGTTCTTTGTATTTGAAAGAATTGAAATTTTTAAAAACTTAAATTCTGCTGAGTGTGCTGGCACACACATATAACCCAAGCACTTGGTAGGCTGAGGTACGAGGATCACTGTGAGTTTGATGTCAGCCTGGGCTACAGAGTGAGTTTCTGTTTTAAAAGAAAAAGAAGAGACTTAAGTTTGTTTCATCATCCAGAATGGGTCTTTTTTGGGGGTCATGGTAGGAAGCAATGTGTTTTTCATTGTACTGTAATAAGTTATATTTAGTTGATGATTTGGGGATTAAGTCACAGACTACTCAATTAAAATCCTGGTTTTTGTTGTTGTTGTTTGTTTATTTTTGAGACAGGATCTTGCTATGTCCCTGGTTGGCCTTGAACTCCTGGTGGTGTTCCTGTGTCAATTTGGAAGGAGTGCTGGAACTGTAGATGTATGCCACCAGGCCCAGCTAGATTCTGGTCCTGCCTTCAGAGAATTTTAAATTCAAATTTGAGGCCAACTTGGCAACACTGTAAAATCTTGTCTCAACAACAACGACTACGACAAAAATGCTTAGGCTTCCCCTGGAGATATAACTCTGTAGTGTGCTTGTATAGCATGCCTGGATTTGATTCTTCTTTTTTTTTTGTCTTTTTCCTTTTTATCGGTACCAGGGATCAAACTCACGACTGCCTGCTTGCAAGGCAGGCACTTATGCCGCTGAGCCAAATCCCCAGCCCCCCTGGATTTGATTCTTAGTACCACTAAAAAACAGAACAGAGAGAGAAAAAAAACCCTTGGGTGTTTTTCCAGGCATACTAAATCACACTCTGTTTTGTTTTTGTTTTTGTTTTTGTTTTAGGTAGAATCTCACTATGTAGCCCAGGGTGGCCTCAAACTCCTGGTGATCCTTCTGCCTCAGCTGTGCCACCACCCCTGGCAATAAATTAGACTTTGGAGAGCAGGCCCAGGAATTGCATTTTAAACAAGTACCTCCAATACTTGGTGTGCAGAAGAAAGCTTGAGTCTCTGGGACTAGAAACAGTATAGTTATTAACATTAAAATTAAAACTCATAAGGAGCCGGGAGTATAATAGCTCAATGGTAGAGCATGGGCTTAGTATGTGTGAATCTGGGATTCAATCCTCAGCCCCTAAAAGGATTATTTCCTTTGGTATAATGTAAGCATCAGATGATTGGGCACCATTGCTACCTCATTTACCAGTCTAGCTGTAGTACCTTGCAAATAATAAATGTTTACTACTAAATGTTTCTTGAGAATAAATGGAACTAATCATTTTCCTATTCTGTTTTCTTTTTTTTAGCAAGCAAGGACTTAGCACAGACATCTTATTTCATGGCAACCAACAGGTTCATATTTTATTTATGTTTTTGTTACCTTTAAGGACTGGCTTCACTTGAGTTAGCATAGTTACCTTGTCTGGGATATATAAAATGACTTAGTTAACTAGCATCCAAAGGCTCAGGCATGGAAATAATCTTTGACACATGTTATAGACAGTTGTTTGGTGAATGTTGATTATTATTATTTTTCCCTATATAATTTTTATCTTGTACCTTAAATTCCTTGGTGCTTTTTTAAATTTGCTAAGGTGATATAGTTATTTAGTACTATAAGTATTTAGTAATTAATAGCCCACCCAGTTGCTCTAAAATACCCAAGAACACATTTCTGAAAGTTTGTGTAAACTTAGGACTTGTTGATAATGACTGAAAATTATCTGACTTGGAGGATTTTGCAAAAATTATATTTTAAGGACTGGGGATATAGTTCAGCAGCACAGTGCCTGCCTTGCAAGTGCAAGGTCATGAGTTTGATTCTTGGTAGCAAAAAAAAAACCCTTAGATTTTAAGACCTTTTTTCTTCCTCTGCATCCAAACAAATGGGCAGTTATAGATATGAAAAGTTGTAATGCTTCCCTTCTTGTATTATTTTTTTTAATTTAAAAAAATGGTTTTTTGTACTAGGAAGTAAACTCACAATCTTGTGCTTGCCAGGCAGGCATTGTGTTGCTGAGCTACAATCTGTGGCCTGCCTTCTTTCTTTTTAGAAAAATGATTATCATATAAACTTGTCGTATCAAGTGACTTGCTTGCTTTCATCGCTGTTCTCCAGTATAGTTTGTTTATAGAAACCAAAAATAACTGTAATAACTTTTAGGACTAAGAAGTTCAGTTTTATAGCTGAGTGTGATGTCTTACACTGTGGTAATCCCAGCACTTAACGCTAAGGCAGGAGAATTGTCATAAATTCAAAGACAGCCTAGGCAAAAAAAAAAGTTTAGTTTTTTTTCTTTCTTTCTTTTTTTTTTTTTTTTTTTTTTTTGTCTTTTTCCTTTTTATCAGTAACGGGAATCAAACTCACGACTGCCTGCTTCCAAGGCAGGCGCTTATGCCACTGAGCTAAACCGCCAGCCCCCAAAAGTTTAGTTTTATAACCTGACACGAGACATTTTTCAAGTAAACCATAAATCAAGCATATTTGTACTTGAAAGAGTTGTCCATTATTTGAAATAGATCAGGACTATGGCAAAAGACAATTTTAAAGATATTTTCTTATAGATGTAATTAAAAACAGAAACCATCTTACAGTTTTCCTCATTCTGAGCTTATCTGGTGAGATAATAGGTAATAAACACTGACATTTGGGTCTAGAAGTCAAAAATAATTTTGGGGGATGGGGTCCTTATTGGTTGTATGGATTGAATGATACAGACTAGAAATCTAGAAATGCTAACCTGAGCAGTGGGTGAATAGAACAGTGGTTGTATTGAAAATGGACAGTTCTTGCTCTTTTTGCTCCCTCTCTCTTTTTTTTAAATAATGTAGAGTTTTAGCTTTGGGTTGAGAATTGAGAGCTCATGGCACTCTGTTTCCCTCCCTCTGGTGTCAGCCTACATTTGACCACATTTAGCCTGCAGTACACACCTCCTGTAGTGGCCTGTGTCTGCATCCATCTGGCTTGCAAGTGGTCCAACTGGGAGATCCCAGTCTCAACTGATGGAAAGCACTGGTGGGAGTATGTTGACGCCACTGTGACCTTGGAACTTTTAGATGGTAAGTTTTAGAGTAAGGGACATTGAAAACCACTTGCTTTCTTGATCTGTCACTTATCTGCCCAAAGGTGACTTTAGTTGAAAATAGTGAGCGAGTTGAGGTTGTTTTTGTGTCAATACCTTTGTCTCTCTGAATCTTTCTTGAATGTTTTATTTTTAGAACTGACCCATGAATTTCTACAGATTCTGGAGAAGACTCCCAACAGGCTCAAACGTATTTGGAATTGGAGGGTAAGAATTATGCTGCCAGCTTGTTTCTTCTTTTGACCATATCAGTGAATGTACCAGAATAGGCTATGTGTCTTAGGTTTGGGATTTCCCTTTTCACAGTTATGTAGTAATCATGACTTACCCCATAGCTTGGATATTGGCCCAGAAGTCAGTAACTATTGGTGATGTCAGGCTTTGCTTTGTGCTGTGGAATGCCTGTATGATTATTTGGTCAGCAGTGTTGTTTGAATATGTTCTTTGTAGAGACTGTTAGGTATAAAGCAAGAATATTGGCTTTTTTGAAGACAGGATCTCTGTGATCTAGGCTGGCTTTGAACTCAATATGTTGCCCATGCTGGCCTTGAATGCGCCATCCTTCTGCCTGTGCTTCTTGAATGCTGTGAGTGTAACCATGCACCAGCATGTGTGATGTAGTTTTATCTTTGACATTGCTTAATTTCTTTTTTTTTTAATTGAATTATTTAGAACATTTTAGATATACATAATGATCACATTCATTATAGAGAATTTGTACATGGTGTAACTTTTTTTTTTTTTTTTGTACTGGAGATTGAACTCATGACCTTGCACTTAACCAGGCAAGAACTTGAGCCACTGAGCTAAATCCCCAGCCCTTTTTCTCTTTTTTTTCCCATTACTCTTCCCTCCCCTCAGCCCCACTTCCCCTCCCCTTTTGAACATTTGTTACCTTTTTTTTGTTGTTACCATTTTTTCCTTCTTTTCTCATTTATTTTTTTACTTTTCTCATCTTTCTCCTCTCCCCCTTGTTCCCCTCCCCATTTCAATATTTTCTTCCTAATCACAAATACCTATTATATATTTTGGTATTTATTTACATTTTCAGTTTCTTACACCAGAGAAACAGTGCAATATTTACATGTGTCTAGTAATAATACGTACATTTAAATTGGGTTTTAGAATTTTATTGTTATACAGTTCAGTCTTAATTTTGTATTTCAAATATTTTTAGAAGCTTATTTGTAAATAATCGAATGATTCCTTCTGTTTTTTTCTAGTGTTAGATTTTTGAAAAATATTTCCTGATGTTGTGGTGGCACATGCCTGTAATCCCAGCACTCTGGGAGACTGAGATGGTTAGATTACAAAGTCAAGCTCAATCGGAGCAATTTAGGGCCTTAACAAAACCTTGTCGTAGAATTAAAAATAATAAAATAATGTAGGGAAATAGCTCAAGGCCAAGATGCTGGAAATAAATACTTTAGAAAAATTCCCTTGGAACTGGGCATGTAAGCTCAATAATAAAGCAAGTGCTTAGCCTGCTCAGAATCCCCCCTCTTTTGCCCGATGTGATTGCACATGCATACCTGAGACTGAGGCAGGAAATCTCTGTGTTACAGGCCAGTTTGGGCTATATCTAGTGAGTCCAAGGTCAACCTGAACTAAATAGCAAGAGCTTATGTAAAAAGAAAAAAGAAGTAGTTTCCCTCCTTTCTCATAAATCCAGATTGAAAAGCTTAATTTCATTTTCCTGAATTGAGTGAACTGAACAAAATGTTTGTCTCATAGTAGTTTAGTGGTAGAAGTAGGCTGGAAAGCGTGTAGTTCATCTTTCACTTTTACATAAAACCTCACCAAAATTTGTAGAATTTTACAATGTATTGCAGTGAAGCAGTCATTCTCCTGTTTATGAATGCGTTTTAGATATGCACAAATTTTTTTTTGGTTGCTTTTTGCCTTGTCACATTGTAGATTGCTATGACTCTTGATGGACAGTTGTTTTTTTGTTTGTTTGTTTATTTGTTTGTTTTATTTTTGGTGGGTTTTTTGAATCAGGATCTTGCTGTGTAGTCCAGACTGGCCTTAAACTCACTATGTAGTCCAGGCTGATCTCAAACTCACTGCCAAGCTCCTGCCTCAGCCTCACAAGTGCTGGGATTATAGGCATGTGTCCCCATGCCCAGCAATGGACGGTTTTAAAATCTTACTTATCCTGAAACCTGTGTTTATTGGCTCTCTTGTTAGGCTAGCCTTTCCAGAACTTCAGTGCAAGTACAATCTATTGATATTAATGTATTTCCATTTTAATAAATAACCTGAAGAGGTATTATTGCTTGTTCTAGGCATGCCAGCCTACCAAGAAAACAAAAACAGATGACCGGGGAACAGATGAAAATACTTCAGAACAGACAATCCTTAATATGATCTCCCAGAGCTCTTCAGACTCAACTATTGCAGGCTTAATGAGCATGTCAACTACTTCTACTACAAGTGCAGTGCCTTCCCTTCCAGTCTCTGGAGAGTCATCAAGCAACTTATCCAGTGTGGAGATGTTGCAGAATGAGCGTTGGCTGTCCTCTCAACCTCCTTTTAAACTAGAACCTGCTCAGGGTCATCGGACTAGTGACAATTTAGCACTTATGGGAATTGATCATTCCTTGAAACAAGATAGCTCAAATGCATTTATTTCCCAGAAGCAGAGTAGTAAGACTGTGCCATCAGCAAAAGTGTCATTGAAAGAATACCGTGCAAAGCATGCAGAAGAGCTGGCTGCCCAGAAGAGGCAACTGGAAAACATGGAAGCTAATGTGAAGTCACAGTATGCATATGCTGCCCAGAATCTTCTGTCTCACCATGATAGCCATTCTTCAGTCATTCTTAAAATGCCCATAAAGGGTACAGAAAACCCTGAACATCCTTTTCTGGAAAAGACTGACAAAACAGCTCTCAAAATGAGACTTCCAGTGGCTGGTGGAGATAAAGCTGCCTCTTCAAAATCAGATGAGATAAAAATGCGCATTAAGGTCCACACTCCAGTTGATAAGCACAGTTCTGTAGAGGATAATGTCACAAAGAGCAGAGAGCACAAAGAAAAGCACAAGACTCACCCATCTAATCATCATCATCATCATAATCACCATTCACACAAGCACTCTCACTCACAACTTCCAACTGGTACTGGGAACAAACGTCCAGGTGATCCAAAACATAGTAGCAGCCAGGCAAGCACCTTAACACACAAAACCTATAGCTTGTCTAGTTCTTTCTCCTCTTCCAGTTCTACTCGTAAAAGGCCCCCCTCTGAAGAGACTGGAGGGGCAGTATTTGATCATCCAGCCAAGATTGCCAAGAGTACTAAATCCTCTTTAAATTATTCTTTCCCTCCCCTTCCTACAATGGCCCAGTTGCCTGGGCATAGCTCAGACACAAGTGGCCTTCCCTTTTCTCAGCCCAGCTGTAAAACTCGGGTTCCTCACATGAAACTGGATAAAGGCCCCAGTGGGGCCAATGGTCACAACACAACCCAGTCCATAGACTATCAAGATACTGTGAATATGCTTCACTCCCTGCTCAGTGCCCAAGGTGTCCAGCCCACTCAGCCCCCTGCATTTGAATTTGTTCACTCATATAGTGAATATCTAAATCCACGGGCTAGTGGAATCTCCTCCAGATCTGGCAATACAGACAAACCCCGGCCACCACCTCTACCATCAGAACCTCCTCCACCACTTCCACCTCTTCCTAAGTAAAAAAGAAAAAGAAGAGGAGAAAAAAACTTCTCTAAAAACACAGTTTTGGTTTTTTTTTTGTTTTTGTTTTTTTTGTTTTTTTTTTTTGACTACTAATAGTGGACTAGAATTACTTCCCTTATAAAATATGTCACCCTTCTTGGACTAGAGAATAAATTGATACTGAAACATAGGTGGGAGAGTGGTAGAGGGCCTTGGTTATTATATGTGCTGCCTGATACATTTAACTATTACAGTTTTTACTGGTGTTAGAAAGGCGGGGATGTGTTGAAACTTGAAGGATTAAGAACACGGTCTATTCTTGGCCTCTCCACCTCCTAATTAGGTTGATTGGGATAGTTATCTTCCCTCTTCTTGCGAGAACTGAAACTTGGGGAGTTTATCAAAAAATTGTGGATTCTTTTGATGTTTAATATATCAGAAGAGAGGAAGTATTTAAACGTCAAAATCTTTTAAGAGACTTTTAAAAAATAATTTAATGAAAGTAAGTTATCTGTTTAGTTTTTTTATATAATTGGGAGGGGAATAAGGACTTTGCTGTGTGTATGAAGTACATAGCAGTGACTCCTGGTGGGTGGGATTGAGGGGGGGGGATACTGTAGAGTGGGTGGGGGGATAGGCTTTTGGCCAAGAGTTCTAAAAGCAGGCTCAAGCCAGTTGGAGTGTCAAGACCTTTAAGAGTGTATGTAAGTGTGGATGTGTTTTTAAGTGTGTGTGTTTAAAAATCATGTTTTGTCCCCCTTCCCCATCCCATCCTTTACCATTTTCACTTTCCAGCAGTCTGCTAAAGAGAATATGGTGGTTCTTGAGAACATGAACAAAGAGGCATGTATTTGACATGGAAATTCTCCCCTTTGTATGTAATTGAATTGTAGCACTCTTAATATCTACTTTCATTATGAAAACTGCCTTTTTACCCTTTTTCATTTTGGTGCAAGAGGGAGGTGCAATTGAAAAAAGTTACAGAACAAGGTCAGCTTCTGGCCTACAGAATTGGGTACATCTTTTCTTCTAGTTGGGCTTGGGGAAGATGTTCAGATGTGGACAGCCCTGTGTCATTGAAGGAAAGGGGGATGTGCTATATAATTTCTGCCTATGAAAGCTCATACCATTCATGACAATAATCCTGCGAGAAGCCAAGGGGCTAGAGTGTGATTTGGAATTCTTAGGACATTATGTTTTAAATTACATTATGAATGTAAGGTTTGCTTTTTATTTGCATATCTGAAGGCAGACAACTGCATCTTTGTGACTTACATGATTTCAAAGATCTGAGCTCATGAATTTAATAGTACTGATGCCATGAATGATCTAGCTTAGCAGATATTAATGTTTATATTGTCGCCCGCTTGTGGCTTTAGAGTCTATACAGGGGTTCTTAAGGAGATTTCTAAAAGTTCTTTTAAGAAAAATGGTCAGGAGTCCTGTTATAGGGGCTTATCCTAAACTTTAGGAGTAAACTTTTTTTTTTTTTTTTAGGAGTAAACATTTTTGATGAGAAAGAAAAATCTTTCAAGAAATCTTAACTAGAAAGAATTCTAAGTCAATGCTTCCTAGCCACAGATCATTTGATGTGTTCTTTTCTTTTCTCTCGCTTCTCTCCCTCCTTTTTTTTCCCTTGCTGTGGAAAAGTGCAATTTGAGTTTCTGTCGTTTTTAATGCCACTTCCATCACACCAGATAGTCTTTAGGGAGAAGTCCAATGATTAGAAATTTTAGGGAAATCGAATTTGTGTTGCTGCTTGCCAGGTACAGTTTGGTGGAAAAGCAGGTGGTTACTATTGATGATGTATTGACCTGATAGAGGAAGGAATGTGTAAAAAGGACTAAACTTTAACTGAAAGTGAGCTAGTGTACTGCCTCTGCCATATTTGGGCTGTGTGGAGTGCATGCCATTGCAGGTAAAATAGGGGCCTATAAATCTGTGATACATCTCAAATGTCATTTAACTTTTCAGATGACATTTTCCTTTTCTTGATAGATCCAGTTTTGTGCCATCTAAATGGTGGTTTTATGGCTGTGTTTATTAAATTTAGACTTTGTATTTGTTTAAATTAAGTTTTTTTCAGTAGTCTGTTTCTCATCCCTCATCCTGAAGGGTAGTATGTCATTTTGTTTGCATCTGTACCTTTGTGAAATTGATGATCACTGGTTTGATTGTGAAAATGTCTTTTCTAGCTTTTAATTCTCTTGAATGTCACATATTTTCTAATAACATGCACTCATACCACAGAGGCACATAACCACTTGATGTCAGTGTTTCTCTGTGTTCTTCCTTAGAACTTGTCGGGAATGAATGAGGAAAAAGTGTTTACTAGGGCCTAAACAGCTGCATTATGTTGTAAAGTCTGGCCTGTGCACTAGTCAATCGTTGTAAACCTGTGCATGTCATAAACCACCTTATATGGACTCATCCTGAGATGTTGCATTATCTTTGGGTTAGCAGATGTACCTGTCAGCTAGTGTATATAATATCCAAATTCTGTAAACTTAATAAGATTCCTGAGGTTTGTGGGATTTCTAAATTGTGTTTCCTACTTTCCTACTTATAAGGATGACAAACAGGATTTATATATGCAAAATTAGTCTCATAAAGATGGGTTTTTTTTTTCTTTTAATCTTGACTGTCAAAGGTGAGTGATGATGGTAAAGTTTGTAAATCTCATTCCTGAAATTTTGCTTGACTCATGTTGGCAGAAACAAATACCTGTGGATTGTCCTGAGGGCCTTTAACCAGATACTTATGTTGCTGTCAGCTGAGCTCTAGTGAAACATTATTCTAAATCCAGTTTTTTTTTTTTTTTTTTTTGAGGTATAGGTCAACACTTTTTGGCTTTAGAAAATACTTAGGTGTTAGTCTAGTCTTCTTACTCATGAATCAGTGTATTTCCATATCTTCTTTTAAATCATTTTAGTGTTTTAGTATACCCTGCATAGTTCTATATTGGCTGCACTGGTGTCAATAGACAAAATCTCCAGTTGCAAATAGCAGTGGATTTGGATATAGAAATAAAAATCATGGTAATAATTCTGCTTAAGGAAATCCCTTAATTTCCTTAAGCTTCTGCTACCTAATGCTTCATATTGAAAATGCATACCACTCATACCTTGCTTCTGGACAAAGATAATTTGAAGGGCCCGATCCTAGCATGGTTGAATTTTAAACATCTTTGTTTCCTTTATTTTGGGAACTTTTTAAAAAATATTTGTTGATGAATTATTTTGGTACTAATGTTGAGAAAGGGGAAAAGCTAGAACATCTTGAAGTTGGAATACAAATTTTATTCTCTTCGGTTTGGGAGAATTTAAGTAGTGAGAAATGGCTCACAGTCATTCTACTGAGCTTTCAATGATTTTGATGCCTCCCGAAATGTCTCTTGTATGTTGCTAATACTCAGCTAGTTTAAATGTTGTGCCACACAGTCAAGTTTTACTTTTTAATCCCTCTATGGATATGAGTTTGAAACAAGCATGGTACTGTAATCTTACTTGATAGTGTGGTCTGGAATCAGAATTATTTTTTGAGTGGGAAAGCTCTCCATTTCAGTATTTCTAAGTTTTTTAATATGAACTTGGCACTGGAAAGGGAAGTATAAGAAAAATATTGTTTATTGAAAAGCAGTATCTATTCTTCCCCTTTATGATTGTGCTCATGGTTGAATGAAAAGAAAGACTTGGTTTTTTGTTGCTACAGTTAACTTGGAGAGGGATTCTTGACAGTGTGCTGATTGAAGCCAGAGCAAGTATGTCTCCTAATTGGGAAGTCTTTAGGGAAAGCTGAGGAACTGATTAGTCATTAATCATAAAGGATTGGTTATAAGTAGACATGCTGTCTGGCTTAAGCTCGCAAAGAAAAGAATGCAGCAGCCTAATTTAAGGTTTCTTAATTTAAAACTGACCTTTCCCCTTTCGTATTTCACACTTAAAACTCCATTATCAGACCAAAGAGCAAAAAGGAAAAACAAATAAAAAAACACTTTACAAATTTATGTCACTCAGGTACAATTTTGTGGTGAGATTTTTGTCTGTTTCTTTGTCTTGCTTTTAAGAGTCCTTTCTCAGCATATTCTGTAGTTGCCTCTGTTCTTGGGGCACCTCAGTTTTGGATGCTACTCCTGACATCCCTCCTGCTGTTATATGAATGATAGGATGTGAGTGACCATTATCATAAGGGCTCTTTGTAAAAAATTTTTTTAAAAAAATTTTAAAAATTTGAAAGATGTGTACATTTTATAGTCCGGCTCTCAGTTTGATATCTTGCTGTCAAGTGTGTTTCTCAATTTGTATTTATCCATCCCATCAATAAATGTTAATGGTGAAACACCCATTGTTTGTATGTCTTGTGTCCTCTAGTCTTTAGTCTTTAGCTATGATTTTATTGATGCTATTATTATTTTGTTTCAGGTTTTTGGGGGGAGTGGAGTGTCTCTTTGTATTTTTTGGTCTTTTTTCTTTTCCTTTTTATTGGTACCGGGGATCGAACTCACGACTGCCTGCTTGCAAGGCAGGTGCTTATGCCGCTGAGCTAAACCCCCAGCCCCTTCTTTGTATGTTTTTTATGCTGGGTCTAGAACTCAGGGCCTCACACATGCTAGGCAAGTAGTGATCTACACTTGGCCCATTTTGCTTCAATTCTGGTAGTAAGTTCTTTTTTTGCTATTGTTTTTGAATCATGGTCTCCCTCTGTAATTCAGGCAGGCCTTGAGTCACTATCTATCCTGGGCTAGTCTTAAATTCATAGCAATTCTATCCCAGATTCCTAGATTCCTAGATTCTAGGATTACAGTTACCTACCACCATGCCTATGTGTTCTTACCATGCAAAATCTATAGAGATTGAGTCCATTGGAAAGACTTAAGATTTGGCCATTATATTAACAAGGGAAAAAAACCTTCACTTGAAGATACTGGAATATCTGAAAATAACTTTTAAACAACAAAAATTATAGCTCTTACATGGTAGCAACACTTACTAGCACACATTATCATTTCCTAATGTATCATGTCTTTGCAAAACCTGAACTTTAGGAAAAACAGCAATGTATTTGGCAGAATATATATATATATTCTGGGACCTTGCATTTCCCAGGCAGATGCTTAAGCTACTGAGCTAAATCCCCAGCCCAGAAAATTATTTTGATTGAAAGAAAAAAATCTTGGTGCCTAGAAAAATTGGTGGTGGGAGCTGGCGATTTAGCTCAGCGGCATAAGTGCCTGCCTTGCAAGCAGGCAGTCGTGAGTTCGATCCCTGGTACTGATTAAAGAAAAAAAAGAAAAATTGGTGGTGAATACTCATCCTGGGACATAATACCACATACACAAGCTAAGTTTTATAAATTACACAATTAAGGAATGAACTTCTGTGATAGGATGAAGTGTGCCACTTCTGAAAAGGTCATTTGGGTTCTATTCACATCTACTTTTTTCTAAGACTGGGTATTTTAAATTGTTTTTGCCAGGCAAGCATCCCCTTTTTCTTTTTGGAAGTTGAATCCAAGTTTGTGTGTATGTTAGGCAAGCTATACCCCTAGCCCTCCAACTGTTTTCTTTTTTATGCTAGCAAAGCAGGGATCAAACTCATGACCTAGCACTTGCCAGGCAGGTGCTTACACCACTGAGCTAAACATCCAGCCTTGGTAGCAAAGTTTTGTTAAAGGTAGAAAAAGAAGCAGGTTCTGCAGAGTGAATTTGGACCAAGTAAAAGTAGGAATGCAAGGGCAAGCAGAAACTGAAGTGATACACAGGATTTGGAGGCAGATTTATTTACATTGATGGGCACTGATGGGATCATTCCCAGAATATCAGGCCCTGTTCTCTGGTGGTCTAGGTGGTGAGGAGGTACAAAAAAGAGAGAACATCCTGGCAGTTCTGATTAGCTAGCAAGATGAGATCACTGGTTACAAGGGCAGATTAATGGTACAGTGGGACAGTTAGGCATCCTGCATGTTTGATTATGCTTGTCATGGTTACAGGAGTCAAGAATGTAATTACCAAGCCATGAGGCAGTTACAGAGCTAGGCAGTTTCAAAAGAACAAAGTTTTAAAAACAATTTCTCTTGTACAGCTTTTCTCTTTCATTACCCACTCTTGTCATTACTCTGAAAAATATTTTTCAGTGTTGGGGCTGTTCTTTTTATAGCCAGAATATAGCCCTCCACATTAAATGTCAGCACATTAGTAACAACATTTTCTAATTATAACTGATACCCTTAAATATTTTTTGTACTGGAAATTGAACTCAGGACCTTGTGCTTGCCAGACTGGTGCTTATGCTGTTGAGGTATATCCCTGGTCCAACCCTAGGCTTTTTATTTTATTTTTTTGTCTTTTTCCTTTTTATCGGTACCGGGGATCGAATTCACGACTGCCTGCTTGCAAGTCAGGCACTTATGCCGCTGAGCTAAACCTCCAGCCCCTACCCTAGGCTTTTTAGATGAGGAATACAGTTTAAAATAAGTCCAGGCCAGGGATTTAGCTCAGTGGCATAGGTGCCTACCTAGCAAGCTCAAGGTCATGAGTTCGATCCACAGTGCCTAAATAAATAAATAGAAGAAAAAGAGCCTTGCTGGTTGTCTTTCTCCCTCTGTGGCAACTGTCCACAAGGCCAGGGCATAAGTTACAGTAAATAAGAGGATAGGGATCAAGAACTAAGCTGGATAAAACATACAGGAGAGAACTGGTTCAAGCAATCACACTTGGAATCCTGTGAACACTGGCCTCAAGCTTCAGCCCTGTGTTGACTTGTCAGTTTCCGGAGTGAGAGGAGCAAGGCTTTGAGCCCATTGTCTCTTTAGAGTGAGACCCAGAGGAGCTTCCAGGCAAATTTTTCAGCAGATCTAAGGCTGGATTTCTAATATAGCTGGTCTTTTAACTGGTTACAAGCTCTATGTTTTGATGTAATCTAGGTTTGACCTTAACATTTGAAATGTCAGGCTTCCAGTGGAGATATCTAATGGACAAATGAATTGGGTCTGGAATTCAAAGAATTTTCATGCCACAGACACATTTGAGAGCCAGCAGCTTATTAATGGAGTGAGATAGATAATTGAGGGAGGAGTCATAGGAAAGAGAAATGTCCCTTGCACACAACTTGGGGGGAAAAAAAACTTAAAAGAGGTAGGTGCCTTGAGCAACTATCTCTAAGATGATAATGTGTAATCTATTAACTGGTGATTTCTTACTGTTTTTTTTTTTTTTGTAGTTCTGTATTACTTGTACCCTTACACTGCTTTGTTTTGTTTTGTTTTTTCTCTTTTTCCTTTAAATAAAATTTCCTTTTAATAAAATTCAAAATTTCCTTTTAATAAAATTTAAAAAAAAAGAGGTAGATGCCCAGTGTGGTAGCGTATCATATGCCTGTAATTCCAGCACTTAGAAGACTGAAGCAGGAGAATCACTGTGAGTTTGAGGCCAGCTTGGGCTAAATAGTTCAGAGCCAGCCTGAACTACATATTGGGACCTTGTCTAAAAAACAAAACAACAAAAAAACTCAAATTGGGTGACTGTGAAGTAGGAGGAAAACCAGGAATCTAGAAAGTGTTAGAAGGGGGTAAAAGTGTTTAAAGGAGGAAGGAGTGACTAAGTGTGTCTGATGTTACAAAATAGTCCAAGAAGACAAAGCCTTGAAACTTCATCAGAATTATCAAAGTAAAGGTCACTGATGAATTTGACTATCAATTTGATGTTAGGAGAATCCTAACTGGAGAGGGCTTGAGATATTGGGAAGCAAAGTTAGAAATAGCATGCTTTGACAGCTCTTGTGAGTATTTTCCATAAAGATGAAGAGGTAGAGAAATGAGGCAGTAGCTAGGAAAAGAGGTAAGATATTTTTGCTATTTTTAAGATAAAAGAATATTTCAAGCATGTACTAATAAAAAATAATAAGAGAAGAAATTGTAGTGTTACATATGCTGATCATAAAGATCAGATGGAAAAGAGATGTGGAATGATGTTGAGTAGATGAGATGGGGTCCAGTGCACAAAAGTATAGTTTTACCTCTGATAGGTGCATGACCAGTTAAATCACAGTAACTGAAAGGAAAGTAGAATATTGGGTTGATATCTTCTGGTTTAAAGATTTTTAAATCTCTTCTGGTTTAAAGATTTTTCTTTTTGCAGACTAACTCAGCTTCCTTTATAGCACCAGTTCACACTCTCGCCTCCTTTTTTTTGTTTTGTTTTTTTTGAGACAGAGTCTTACTATGAAGTTTAGGTTGGCTTTGAGCTCACTTTGTAGCCATTTTGAATTTGCAGTGACCCCCCTGCTTCAGCCTCCCTCCAAGCACTGGGATTACAGGAGTGCTCCACCACGTCTGGCCCACCTTCCTTTCCTCTATCCTTTTTTTCACTTTTCTCTAGGATTAGTCCTCAAAATCTCCAAGCTCTCAAAAATTCTCTTCAAGAATTCATTTTTGGCTGGGCATAGTGGTTCATATCTGTAATTTCAACATAGGAGAGGCTGAGGCAGGAGGATCACGGGAGTTCAAGGCCAGCCTGGGCTACATAGTAAATTTCAGGTCAGCCTGAACTACATAGGGAGATCCTGTCTCAAAAAACAAAACAAAACAAAAAGAGGGAGCCGGGCATGGTGGCTCTAACCTGTAATCCCAGCACTCAGGAGGCTGAGGCAGGAGGATCCTTGTGAATTTGAGACCAGCCTGGGCTACAAAGTAAGCTCAAGTCCAGCCTGAACTGCATAGCAAGACCTTGTCTTAATAAAACAAACAAAAGAAAAAAAAAACAAAAAAAGAAAGAAAGAGGGCTGAGGATTTAGCTCAGCAGCTCAAGCACTGGCTTGGTAAGTGTGATGTAAGTTTGATCCCCAGTACCAAAAAAAAAAATCATTTTTCCCAAACCTATTTATAAACAATCTCAGATACTGTAACTTGTTCAATATCTAGAAAATTAACATTGAATTAGAAACTACTTTGTTTTGTTACACAACCTAAAATAATTTGCCAGTATTTTGACCCTTTAAAACTATCTGATCCCTGAAAGGGTTTTGGCCCAGACAGGATTCTGTAGCCAGGAAAGCCTCAACCGGAACCAGGAAGCCCCTATCTCCCCTGCCCCTAGGAATTTACCTGTGACACCATCTTCCCACCCCTGGGAATTTACCTATGGCACCAAACCTAGGACCAATGGGCTACCTGTGCATCCGTAAGGCCCCCCTTAGATTCCACCCCAAATCGAGGCTACTTATATGTCTCACTCCACGTGTTCCACAGAGAGATCACTGACCCCAGGGTGGAGATGCCACGCCCCGGGGGATTGAGGTGTCTCTCCCCGCATTCTCAAAATAAAGGTCATTTATATTTCATACTTCT